AGCTATCAACATGAGTAAAGCTGGTTCTTATTAACAGATATGTGCAGATTTTTACCATTTCTAGAACAATTAACAAGCTTGATTAAGTTGAGATTTATGCGATTATATGCGGCGGAAAAGTATTCGCAATTGTATCCTTAACAATTTTCCACTTCATCATCTGCTTTTTTGTGAATTGCGTCATTGCTACTCATTCATTTATTTTGATGTTATACTCGTTTTTGCTCCCTTTTATTTTTTTCCTTTCACTTCTTTAGCATGATTACCAGGCAAAAATACGCTGAAATTTGGGTTGCGTAGTTTTTTTTAGAATCATGTATCAGTTGCTTCTGGAAGTTATTGGCAAAGTCAAGCAATATATGTACTCTCTGGCGCGCTTATAGCAGTAAAAGCTGAATGCAATAACAGCAAAACCGCCTTAATTTGTGTTTTATTCTTCCAAATGTGTAATGTTCATGCTGATTTGCATCATTCGTCATGAACGTAGGTTAAGACAAAATTTCAGGTATGGAGCGAATTGCCGTGCCTGAGCAACGAGACCGAGTATGCACTGGTTCAGTAGGAGAGAAGTTTATCGTTCGAACCTCCACTTCACGAGGATCAATGCGAGAAGCACTGACAAAAGCAATTAGGTCCACTCTCAGGCGCACCTCAACTGAGAAATCTCAAAATTCAAATACTACCTGCGCAGCTGCACACAAAAGCCTTTCCGATCTGAAAGGATTAGTAGAAAGAAAATCTTCGCGTGACAACCTCCACGCCCGCGATGTTATGTCCCAAAGTTTAATCAATCAATCATCCTACTCTGTTTGTGAGGAGTGTTCTGTGCACACATCGCCAAGTCTTTCTACCCTAAGAGATTTCAATATGCTGGATTATGATGATACCAAATCAACTGTTTCGACTGCGTCAACTAGCCGTGTCTGCTGTAAAGACGTATATCCGAAGCGCTACAAAGCACACAACCTACGTAGCTTCTTGAACTCGCCAGGTATGTTATGTTTTTTGTAAACTTTTTTTTCTCGATTGATATATGCAAATTATGCAATACATACTGTGTCTTAATTTTTGGGAAAATTGTGGTATTTTTATTAGCATCATATAAAGCTACTTTCAAACATTGCAAAGACTGTATTTTCACTAACTTTGATCGTCAAATTTTTAAAATCTTGCCAGTCTTTTGTACATTAAAGGAAGCTTTTTCTTACTAAGCTCTGATCACTGATCTGATATGTGGAATGATGAAAAAATTTGCATTTGAGAACTCTCTTGGATTGACTTATTTTCGTGGTACAGCTGCAATGGCACAGTTGAGAATGAATGCCTGTACAACGCAAACTTTCTTTTTTTCGTGCGCTGTTGGTGACTGCTTCTCAGAAATGAAGATTATCATAAGTGCTCTAAAAAAGTCGTTTATATTGGCAAGGGGGCGAGTTTGCCTAGGCTCAGATGATATTTTACAATTAGAAATTATTACCTAACATCAGGTGGTCTTTCGCATAGGCGGCATGAGTTTAAGATCAAGCACTTGGCGATGGACATCCATTATGATTGTCTGACGAATGGTCCTTCGTAAACGCCTCTTCCTAAGTGGCGCGCGCATTGTTTCTAAGTGTTTTGCATCCTTCCGCGCCTGCTTATTCCGCTTGC